TTTCTTGACCAAAAAAGTTAAGTGTTTGTGTGTGTGATATGTGTGTGTGTGTGTGTGTGTGTGTGTGTGTGTGTGTGTGTGTGTGTGTGTGTGTGTGTGTGTGTGTGTGTGTTTGTGTCCCTGCGCGAATATGTGCACGTCTTCGTCATTATTGTCTGATTTGAAAAAGCTCTGTTGTAGAGTTAGCTGGCGCAGTGTTCTCACCACCACACTGCTTCTGCACATCACCTTGCGATCGCCGGACCGCACCCACACCCACTCACACTCTCTATGGCATAGGTGTCAAACTCAGGTCCTGGAGGGCCGCTGTCCTGCATGTTTTCCAAGTCTCCCTGTTGCAACACACCTGATTCAAATGAACAGGTTCAATGTCAGGCTTCCGCAGAGCTTGCTGATGATCTGATCATTTGAATCGGGTGTGTTGCAACAGGGAGACTTGGAAAACATGCAGGAAGCGGCCCTCCAGGACTTGAGTTTGACACCCCTGCTCTATGGACCAAGATCTGATCAAATCCAGTCCTGCAATGTAGTGGTGATTTATCACACCTAAATCATTCCCACTGTCTCTATAACCAACGGAGGAGATGCACGGAGCCCAATAGTTATTTATTTATTTATTTATTATTTTATTAAAAAAATAAAAATAAAACACCCAAAACATATTCCTACATTTTGGCATTAAATGATACTTTTACATTTCGTGATTAAATGAGTTCAGTATCGATTCCCAAGCGCAAGTACAGTCAAACCTCGGTTTTCGAACCGTCTGTTCTCGACCAAATCGGTTTTCAACCAAAAAATTCAAGTTTTTTTTTTATGACTTGGATTACGACCGAAAATTGGTTCTCGACCAAACTGAGCGCACTTGAATGCGCCACTTGACTCCTCTCGCCTTCCTTACATGAGGAAATGACGCTTCCTCGGGTAGACGAGGAAGTGACGTTTCCTCGTGTAGCATTCCATTGTGAGCAGACGTGTTCAATAAAGTTTTTTTTTTAAAAAAGCGTGGTTCCGGTTTTTGAACAAATCGGTTTTCGAACAGCCTTCTGGAACGGATTATGGTCGAGAACCGAGGTATGACTGTATTGATATTTGGCACTCATTTATGTTTTCTTTATCTCTATTTTTTGTGCATGTTTGTATGTGGTGATGAGGGGGGGGTCAAAGAACTTCATTTTTGCTGAGAGGATGGCTTCTTCTTCTTGAGCATTTTATCTTACACTGTACTTGCATTGAGAACAACAATAGGACCCAATGTACAATTGTAAATATAATAATTCTCAGTTTATAGTGGAATAAGACTGAAGTGCATCAACAGTAAGTGTGACGTAAAGCATTTCTGGACCCATGCAAATCAAAATAGTACTTACTGGCAGTTGATGGCCCTCAAAGTTAGACTGCGCTCTGCACTAGACTCGCGTGGAGCATGTAAATTGGGCCCATTGTACCTACATTAAAATATAATAATTCAGTTTTTGGTGGAATTACAATGAATTGCATCATCAGTAAGTATGCCACAAAGCATTTATGGACCCATTCATTCAATCATTTATTTTCCGAACCGCTTTATCCTCACTAGGGTCACAGGGGTGCTGGAGCCTATCCCAGCCGTCTTCGGGCAACCCTGAACCGGTTGCCAGCCAATCGCAGGGCACACAGAAACCAACAACCGTTCGCGCTCACACTCACACCTAGGGACAATTTGGAGTGTTCAATCAGCCTGCCATGCATGTTTTTGGTGTGTGGGAGGAAACCGGAGGACCCGGAGAAAACCCACGCAAGCACGGGGAGAACATGCAAACCCCACACAGGAAGGCTGGAGCTGGAATCGAACCCGGTACCTCTGCACTGTGAAATCGACGTGCTCACCACTCGACTACCGGGACGCCCCCATTTCTGGACCCATGAAGTTCAAAATAGTACCTACTGGCACTAGATAATTTACTTAATTCATCCCCGCTCACATGACTCTGAATGATACAATACTCAATGGATTTAGGGAATAATTGTGTGTGTGGGGGGGGGTGGTTCTAGTATGTACATGTTCAATTTGTCCTCCACTATACAAATGCATCTGTTCTGAATGAATTATTCATCTGCTGCTTTTTGCTTCATACTGTATGAATGCCATGCTAATTTGTCTCGTTTTTTTTTTTTTTTGTGTGGCCAAGGGCTACTCAAAGGCACTGAGACAGTAAACATCCTTTGCAGATGATTGCAGATTGGCTTTGACTTGATGTGTTGTGGTCTTTAATATAGATAAAAAGCAAGAATGAACCCTGACATAGAAACAACATTCGCTACGTGCTCACACACTTGCCGCGCAGTGAGATATGGGTTTAAAGCATTCAAAGGATACTTTTATAAAATGAGAGAGGGTTGCCAGATAATTTTCAGCTGTAACACCCCTATTAACATCAGTAATCACAGGATTCGACTGGGTTTTAATCTTATCCCTAATGAGCTGAATCTTCTGAATAAAAAAATAAAATAAAAACTTGCATGCTATTGTGAGCTGAATGGGGGTACCTATTGGAGTTGTCGGCTGTTGTTACGTGAGCATTGCTACAGTATCAAATAAGTAGAGTGGTACCTCTATTTATGAAATTAATAGGTTCTGGAAGAAATTTCTGAACTAGAAAATTTTGTAAGTAGAGACGCATTTTCCATGTAAATGCCCTAATCCTTTCCAAGCCCCTGCATGATTCAGACATAAACGTATTCTAAAGCATAAAAATGCATCAAAATATGTAACAAATACATGTTACAATTAAATTATTGCACAATAAATGACAGTTGTGTATAACGTAAAAAACAAAGAATCAAGAATAAAAATGATGGTCATTTAACCTTTTACTGCGTCCTCCTCGTGTTGTTTTTTTTTTTTGTTTTTTTTTGCCTTTAGGTCATGTTCTCTCTCAGAAGTGGTTTTTGCCTGGCGTTTTGTAAAGAGGGCGGCCCGGTAGTCCGGTGGTTAGCACGTCGACTTCGCAGTGCAGGGGTACCGAGTTCAATTCCATCTCCGGCCTCCCTGTGTGGGGTTTGCATGTTTTCCCTGGGCCTGCGTGGGTTTTCTCCGGGTACTCCGGTTTCCTCCCACATTCCAAAAACATGCATGGCAGGCTGATTGAACACTCTCAATTGTCCCTAAGTGTGAGTGTGGGCGTGCATTGTTGTTCATCTCTGTGTGCCCTGCGATTGGCTGGCAACCAATTCAGGGTGTCACCCGCCTACTGCCCGAAGAAAGTTGGGATAGGCTCCAGCACCCCCTGCGACCCTAGTGAGAATAAAGCGGTTCGGAAGATGAATGAATGAATGAATGAATGAGTTTTGTAAATAACCGATCCAAGCTTTTGTCGGCTTTTAACAATCATTTGAAAATGTCCAAGGCAAACATCAGCAAAGTGAGCGATATCCCAACTGGTGAACACTTTTTCTGAGTGATTCACATTTACGTAAACCTATCGGAACGCCTCATGGCCCGAGGGGTGAATGACGAGGATGCTGCAGACACATATCTATCTCCACACATAGACACATACAGTAGAGGTCCCTCTTAGCCAATGGGATGCCACGCTGATGCTCGGTCGTAGCCAATGGCAGAGCAGCTACAAGTATGTTGCGTTCCAGAAATTCGGAGCTGTGAGTCCCAGCCCATACTGTATTTTTACCTTTCGTATCTTGAAATTTCTTTCGTAACAAGAGGCAATATTTTCCTGTTCAGGCATTTCGTAACTTGAAAATTTCGTATGAAGAGATGTTTGTCAGTAGAGGTACCACTATATTTTGGGTGGGTTTTATTTTTATTCAGGCTGTAGGAAGTTTTACTGAAAAATTCAGAGTGTTTTCGGATTTCAGCAAACTATCATATCATGCCCAATGGAAGACCTCGAGTTTAGTCTCATGCCATTTGCACTCAAGCTTTGTTTTACATTGTTATTTCAGTGTGTGTATTTATAGGCATTGTTAGAGTGAGGGCCACGTTTGAGAACAGATTCGAAAATATTGGCAACACGTCCACACTTCTTTCAAGGATGTGCAACCTGTGAACTCACAAAATTTGGAGGAGAGACCGCCTCAGCAGAAAACATGTCCTTATGCAATCTAGCAGTAGGTTGTGAATCATGTAAAGTGTAACGCTCTAAGCTACATAGAAGCTATCTATGTTGTGAGAGTCTAGCATAGCGCTAGTTAGCTCGAGCTTTACAGACACCATTCTTACTGGCTTGCTAATCACCTTGCGCACTTTGCGTAAAAAAAAAAAAAAAAAAAGTTTCACCAACTCCTGGCAAAGAAGAAACAATATGACTTGTTATCTCACGTGTGTACAATTATACATACCCTTGCCATTTATGGCATTTTCAGGATGAGAACCTTGCTGGGGCTCTGGTTACTATGGCTTCACTCAGTGGGAGTGGGTCTCTGAGAGCTCGGTGATTACTCCTGTTTATTCATCGTAATTATTCTGCACTCTTCATGCTGCATTGAAGAGCATGATTGCTGTGCTCCTTCTGATTTTGTTAACCATTTGATTTAATTATTTACGTTTCCTAGGTTTCCAAAGTGTAGAATTGCACATGAACATAAATGTGTGTGTGTGTGTGTGTGTGTGTGTGTGTGTGTGTGTGTGTGTGTGTGTGTGTGTGTGTGTGTGTGTTCGTGTGTGTGTGTGTGTGTGTGTGTACTGTAGTATGGCAACAGAAATTATATCTAAACCTTGTTTTTATGAATACGTGAACAGTATATACCTGTCATCTATTTTTCCCCCCCAGTTGTAAATAGCTATTCTCTGGAGGTTACAGGACCTTTGCCCATATCTGACATCTCTTCAATGCTTGTGAAAATCAATCAATGCAAATATCTCTTTAGTGGGGACAAACTCACAACAAGACTGCGTAGATGACATATTCAATCTTCTTTTTTGCATTCCAGTTCATGAATAAATGTGTTTGCAATATCTATTTGTTGTTGTTTACAGTTAATCTTTTGTTGTGTTTCAGGTTGGAGGAAAAGATAACCCTGCAGTTGACCCTATAATTCATGGCTTAAAGGGTGTGGTCCATCATGGTGAGTGATAGTCTCAAGTTCCAGCCCAGCAAATAGAATAAACGGTACCAATTTTATGTAACTGTATTTCCATGCCGGTAAGGTGATTTATTGGATACATGCAATTCATGATCATCTGATCAAATGAAAAGCAACACAAAAGTTGTGAACCGCAAGTATCTACCATGTGTCAATTACCGTTAAAGATCCAAATATCTACATATGGAGAACAGCATAAAAGATACCTTTAAGTTAATGCCATCTTATTATGATATCAATTCGGTTTTCGAAAAGGACAAAATAACTGCTGCTGTGTAGGTATTTAATGGCATTATTGAGACTCAGAATTGTAAGGGCCGTAGTTGAGTGCCCAGTGCAAGTTGCGATCAAACCGCAATTCTGACTATGCACATGTGTGGAGTTTCTCCCTTTTGATATTTTCCGACACATTGCACAAGTAGAAATGGGCGTCCGGGAGCGTTTTAACTATTTTGCGCCCTTGCAGGCTGAAACATAATGAATCCCAAGTGTATCCGCTCATTTGCATTAAAATCAGGGCAGTCTAAGCGGAAATTCAAAAATGTTTGAAAATGGAAAAAGATGGGAGGGAAATATATATTTTTTGTTTTAATATGGTTTCTGTCAGAGGACAAACATGACACAAACATTATTAACATTTTCCGATGCTGTAAAAATGTGTTGAATAGAAATTAAATGTCAACATTTCGTCAACGAATATTTGCGTCATAGCCTGCGACACACGTTTCTATTTGCAGGGCGGGATGTCAGTCAGGGGCCCGTTGTAAAAAAAACAAAAAAACAAAAACAGCTGCCTTTCACGGACAATTCACCAAGGGTATTTGCTAAGAATGGGAATCTGGGTGGCCAAGAGAAGCATTTTTAAACGGTACACGTGAGCTACGATAGTTAGCACACTGCGAAAGTGCATCCCGTGCCTTGTTCATCTTAGCGGCCGTTCTGGCTGTTGCTCATTACGGCATGTGTAAGTGTGTGTATGCGCGCGTGTGCGGTCACGCGTCGATCGCGGGAGGTTGGTTGTTCGAAAAGTAGATCTTCCGTCAAAAAAGTTTGGGCACCCCTCCTCTACAGAATGAACCGCAGGGGAAAAAAAAAAAAAAAAACAACTTTTAATCATGAATGCTCATTGTGTATTTGTAGCCAACTTAGTCATGTTGATAGCAGGCTAATATAGCTCATACAGCATGTGGTGCCTTCATTATAAGGCTTTTTATTTTTTGCGGCTCCAGACATATTTGTTTTTTTATTTATTTTGGTCCAATATAGCTCTTTCAACATTTTGGGTTGCCGACCCCTGGTTTAATGAATTCGTTTCTACAATGATCCTGAAGGATTGTCCCATCAATGAAATACGATGCCATCCACCACAAATATCTACGGAACATCAAATATGTCTGCCTGTGCCTCAATCAAATACACCAAGACTGCACCATCGCGTTACACCACCTGTATTACCATTTACACCTGCTGTTTCTTACCCAAATGGCAGGTGAGCCGGGGGAGTGTAATTGAAAACTCCCACATTCTGCCAGAACGCCTGGCGACACGTAGCACAGGATACCAAATTCCCAAGTGTGCTAAACTAGACAATGGGCATCAAAATCAAGATGTGCTTTTTAATTTGAACGCACGGGCACCTAACTACGAAAATAAGGCCCCAAGACTCTTGACACAATTAATCTAATTGTGAGCAATCACAATTGTCATTTGTTGTTCCACAAACAATCCACATTATTCTTCTTGAGGATCCATCTACACATCCTGACAAGACCAGGCCACAGGGTTTCAGCATATCATGGCCATCCATATGCCATACCGTGTGTAATTTTGCCCGATGTGCCGCTTGTTAGCCTTTTCTGCTTTACTCAGCTGACTGTGGACGGGAAACACAGAGGACATACAACTCCCGCGCCTTTACACAGTCACTCAGTGCGATGCAAACATCCACACACGGGACTTTCTTTGAGGGTTGCCACATGTGCACTCCACACAAACACAAACTTCCATGCACACACATGCACAAACACACTGGTCACACACCCAGCCCCAAATCATATTCAAGCATGTGACAATCATCATCACACTCTTATAAACCTCTTGCGCGTTCTCAGAGCCATTCCTTGTGGATTTGGTTCATTCAGCAGCCTCATTGAAACATCACATTGAACACGTAATCTTTGTGTTTGTGAAAAAGTTGGTCAAGTAACCGAGCAGGTGCCCTCATCCTTGCAATTTCTTCATAATGGCACACCTCACCTCAGGTAGTGAAGTTTGCACTGATGCTGTTTGTGCAGCCCAACCTCTTTTAATACATATACTTATTTGAACAATGTGACTTATCATAGGACTAATCCTGAGCATGTCCTCTATCACCTCATATGTATGTCCTGAATCAAAATATTCTTTAATGGCAGCAACTATGTTTGAATCACTGGTAATGCTCATTGTAAAAAAAAAAAAAACATGCCAGATGTGGTTCCTGATCAGAGATAAACAGTGCCAATAATTTATGAGTCTGATCTCCCCTAAAGTATCCACGTCTCCGGTTAATTTATTTCATTGTGGCTTTTTTTTTTCATTCGCTATTGTGATTAGTTATTTGGTGTTGTGATTAGTTAATCCCTTATTTTCATTTGCTGTTGTGATTAGTTAAATGCTGTTGTGTTTTCTTTCCATTTGCTATCATTTCATTTATTTTGCTGAATTGTTTGTGATGTGATTACTTGATCGTTGTTGCTTAGTTTTATTTTGTGATTGTTGTGTTTTTTTTTTTATTTTTATTTTCTTGTTGTATTTAGTTATTCGTTCATTGTGTTTAGGTACCGGTGCTTGCTGTTGTGTTTTGCACTTCGGGGCCACCATAATTACACCTGTACGTTGAAGTTCACCCTGTTAGCCCCCTTCCCTTACCTCCACTTTCAGGTGGGGGGGGGGGGTGAGTACCGACTATTGCTTGTGCCCATGCACTAACCAGCAGTTCAGAGTACCCACCCATTCAACTCCTTTGGGGGGAATACTGGAGGGCGCTTTTGCTAGGGACCGAATCATTCTGCTGGGGGACTTTAAGACTCACATGGGTAATGAGTGAGATTTGGAAGGGGCCCCCAATTAGAATGTGAGTGATGTTCTGTTATTGGACTTCTGTAGTTCAAGTTGATTATTTCTGTCTAATTAAAAGCTGTGCAATATTCATGCTTTCTAATAAGCTTCTTGATAAGCCACACCTGTGATGTGGATTGAATTATCTCCAGACTGGAGAAATGTTCACTAACACAGATTTAGACTAATTTGTGAAGAATATTTGAGGGAAATGGCCTTTTTTGGTGTGCGGAAAGAGTTGGGTCTGCAAAAAGTGTCCAGCTCATGAAAAACACCAAAAAGTGTTGCCTTAACACTTGTGTTTAGTGCAGGGGTGTCAAACTCATTTCACATTGTGGGCCACATATAGCCTCGGTGGATGTAAAGTGGGCCGGACCATTAAAATTATACCATACTCTGCTATAAATAACCAAAATAATTTATTTCCTTTGTTTTGGTCTAACGAAGCACAAGAACATTAGGAAAATTTAATAAACAGATCTAGTGGATACTCCATGAATTGCACCTGATTAAACGTAGTCAGTCCATGTCTCTTATGAATTTTTTCACTTTTAAATTATCTTGCGGGCCTGATCGAACCTCCTTGCGGGCCGGTTCCGGCCCGCGGGCCGTATGTTTGACATCAGTGTGAGTGTGTGTGTGTGTGTATATATATATATATATATACATAATGTTTATTCAATGGACTGATGGGTAAAATGTGGCGTTTAAAACGAGAGCCCTTGCGATAGCAATCTTGACAATAAAAAAACTGCAAAATTTGTAGTCTTAAGTACAGAACCAATAGTTTTGAAGAGAGCAATTGGATATCACGATTTGTCTGAATAAGACTTGAGAAGTGTTCCATTTTAGACACCTTTCACTTTGCGATGGTTGTAGCGCCAGCAACCTTGGGATTTGAGAAGCATGTGCAGCCAGTCTTTTTTCCACCTGCGTTCAGCTTTGCACCATTCTTGTTTAGCTGCATGATTTCTCTCATGAAATCATGGCTCTGGTAACAGCAGTTACAGGAAAACTCTACATCAAAGAGCACAGTCATTCTATTGGTAATTACGTTGTCCAACATTTTCAAATTTGAGACCAAAAGCGGGAGGGAGGCCCAGTGGTCAAGTGGTCAGCGCGGCGACCTCACAGTGTAGAGGTGGCAGGGTTTGATTCCGGCTCCGGCCTTCCTGTGTGGAGTTTGCATGTTCTCCCCATGCCTGCGTGGGGTCTTTTCCAGGCACTCCGGTTTCTTCCCACTGAAGTGTGTATTTGGCGGAATACACACTTCACCACGTTCCAAAAACATGCATGGCAGGTTAATGGAACACTCTAAGTTGTTCCTAGGTGTGACTGTGAGTGCAAATGGTTATTTGTCTCTGTGTGCCCTGCGATTGGCTGGCAACCCGTTCAGGGTGACCCCCGCCTACTGCCCAAAGACAGCTGGGATAGGCTCCAGCACCCACCGCGATCCTTGTGAGGATAAAGCAGATCGGAGAATGGCGACCAAAAGCAAGGACGAGATCTAAAGTATGTCCTTGTTTGTGAGTTGGGGCAGAACTAAAGTTCTTGGAGCATTTAAGGAAGAGCATGCAGACGATAATAGTTTGAGTATTGCATTGCACTCACCCACACCAGTCCAAGCCTCAGTCAGGCAGAGTGAATCCAGGTCATTGGAAAGAAATAGCTTTCTCAGAATAGACGTTTTGTCCATCAACGACCAGGTGTTTGACAACGCTATCCTGTTGGAACCACCAGTAGTGTGCAACGCCTTCGATCGGCAAGCACTGGGAAACTCCCCCTTGGAATGTATAAAGCAATTACAAGGCAGTCAAAGTGAGCACTTGGCACACTCACAATTTTAGAAGCCGACAAATGAACATTAATCAACTGGGATTGGGCTGTCGATGAATGGTTTGATTAAGATACGTAAGTGGGGTGCACATAAGCGGTGCGCAAGTGTGCATGCGGGCTGCAAATAGTCTTGTGCGAGACAGATTCAATTGCCTCGGTGCTCATTTGTGTTCCAAGCATATTGCATCAGTGATTGCAGCTTAGTGCAGTCAAAAAGTCCAAGTCAAGTTAGCAATCAACAACAATCGCTTCCTAGGGTTAAATTCAGCATGAAAGACGACCAATACATTGACCTCCATTTTACACTATTGTGATGTTTTGCGTGTGTTACTCGATGTTGTGCTCTGTGCGCATGTGTATGTCATCATGGAAGAGTTCAGTTCACATCAGAGGATGCATTTGTTTTTGGAACTGGAACGAGAACATAAAAAGAAAAAATCTGAATTGGGCATCATGCCCTGCAGTGTGAACACAGCCTGTCAGACTGTGACACATTGCTGCTGGCAGAAAACTACATATAAAAGTAATATTCTGCATCTCACCCTTATTTCTGCGGCCCGCCTTCAATTCCACAGAGAGTTTAAAATTTCGCGGCAAATAACGCGATCGTGGAATCCTGCGGGGACCAATTAGCTAACTACCAAATTATTAAAAGGGCAAATTCCGCTCTACCCTCGTCTGTGGAGGAAATACAATTGTTGGTAACATAAGGTTCACAGCTGGTGTTTGTGCTATTCATTTTTTTAAAATAATTCCTTGGATGGTCAGAGAAGTCACTAATAACAGCGACAATATATTTAACTTGGCAACACTGATGCCAAGTCACTGCTCTTGTTTGCTTGAACTGCTGACACACCCGCACTTCAAAATAAAAGCAGTGCATACTTGATGTTTTAGTGTGACTTACAAAAGGCTACAGAGACTGTGGACTTGCCGGATGTGGCCCACAGGCCTGATTTTACCCAGATGTGCTGTAAATGTTTATGTTCATCCATAAGGTCAATATGGCGGGGGGAGAAAAATGAGCCCCATTGGGGGAAAAAAGAGCACCAAATAACAACCTCGAGTGCTCATCTGAGAACCACATCAAAAATGTTATGTGTACCCCAGTACAGAAGGTATAATAGATGTATAGAAAAAAAATCCCCAATTTTCATTCCACATTGATATACATTGAGGAAAGAACAAAAGAAGAATAATTTTGGATAAGCTCTTGAAGACTCGTGTCTACCGTAGCCCCTTAATTGATGCCACAAGAACAAAACACTAATTCTGAATCAAAACAGAATACTATCTCTCCCACAAAGTGGTTGGTTAGTTTATTCTGCCTCCACCAGTGCTACCAAGTGGAGTTGGTTATATTTTTCACAACCCTCTCTTCACATGTTCCGGATCTTGTCTAGTCCGGCACACACTGCAAGTTTTGCATTTTATGCCTTGTTACATTTTACATGAAACCTCACTGGAACAAACGTTCTTTGACTCTATAGCCAGCGAGCCGCGCTTGGCCATCCCTGTGAAATAAGCCTGGCGAAAAGGCTGATTTTACATAGCAGGCTGATGAAAAGTCTTGGAGGTGAAGGAGCTCATTGTTTTCAATTTTACAAAGGTTTGCATGGGGCTTTGAAAAAGATGTTAAGACTGCTAATAATATAGTGAGGTTTTGGAGAGAAGACACACGATGAAGACAACAAAAGTCATATTTACTTTGTTGACTAAAGGCATCACAGAAACAAAAATCTGGAATAACAGTAGCTTCAACTTGAAGTTGACAAGGAGGCTGAGACAGGAGTTATATTGGTTATCGTGCTTTGCTCAGGTCATTTCTTCATCAGAGCTGATGGTATTCCAGCTCAAAGCGAAAATATAAAGCTCCTACCACTGTCACAACACAGTATTTCCAGTGGAGACAGGCAGAAAAAAAATGCAAGTGGCCCAATTAGGGAGAGGATGAAGAATCAAACACACGTTACATCAGATTGTATTTCAAAGTGCAATGAGATAAAAGACCACATATATTACTATTTCATTTAACATTAAAACAGCTAATATTCTAACATACAACTAATACCCTAATTATTATCACAAAAGGTTATATAACTTATGATTAATTATAAATAATGAACCTTCGACATGTGCTGTGAAATAGTATTTGCCCCCTTCCCAAATTCTGTGTTCTTTATTTATCACATACAAAGGTTCATCACACCAATTTTAATGTCACACAGAGACTACCCAAAGAAATACAAAATATAGTTTCTAAATGCCAATTTAATTTAACAAGGCACACAAAAAAAAAAAAATCCAAAACTACCTGTCCCTATGTGAAAAAGCAATTGCCCCCCTTCCTTGTTAAATAAAGTAACTGGCACTTTCCGAATGATGAGTTCAATTTCACAGGCAACACCCTAGCAAGACGTTTGTTGAATTATGAATAGAATATGTGAGACAAAGTGAAGTACAAGATCTCAAGACACAAACGCATCATGTCGCGATTCAAAGAAATTCAAGAAGATATTAGGAACAAACTGACTGAAATCTATCAATCTGGAAAAGGTTACAAAGCCATTTCCAAGACCCTCAGGTTTCAGTAAACCACCGTCAGAGCCACTATCAACAAATGGATACAACTGGAAACAGTGGCATACATTTCCACGAGTGGTAGACCAGCTAAAATGACACCAAAAGTTCCATGACGACTCATCCAGGAGGTTGCAAAAGAATTTAGAACAATATCCAAAGAACTCCAGACCTTGCTGGCCTCAGTTCAGGCCAGTGTTCACGACTCTAACTTAAAAATGACACCGGCAAAAAATTGCATTCATGGGAGAGTTCCCAGGGGAAAACTACTGCTGTCCAGAAAGAACACAGAGGCAAACATGTATTTTTGACGTAGCCCATACCGCCTGACAGTAAGTTATGTCTTGCTTTATACACCTATTACACAGTTTTGTCATTGTTATTGGTGTACTTATTATTTTTCATCATTAACATTATTTTATAACGAATTAAGATCAAAACCTGTTTCACAATATCCATTCATTTTCTATACCGTCTATATGTCCTCATGCGAGTTATGGTTAACGTGAACTTATCCCAGGTGACTTCAGATGGGAGACAAGGTTCACTTTGGCTAATCATCGGGAACATACAGACAAGCGACCTGTCACACACAAATTCACACATACGGGCAACTGACGGTGTTATTTATCCCAAGAAGCATGTGTTGGCAGATGTGGGAGGAAACCAAATATCTGGAGAAAAAAAACACAGAGAGAACAGAACCTGCAAGCTACGTTCAGAGATGTTCCAACAGAGACTCACGCTGACATCTGATGGATCACGCAGTAATAATGATTATTTAAATTACTTGACTCGAAAGCTATGTTTTTGACACAATATTCAAAGTAGTCAGTATCTTTATACAAGAAAATTGACCTTTAAATGACAAAAGTGTTGTGTTTTAGACCTTTTTTTTGTTTGTTTTTGTTTTTTTGCTTGGGCCTTGAATTCTACGTTTGGAAGTGAGGTAAAAATTGGCACTAATCTTTGCTGTGCTTGATAAAAGCACTAATTCAAAAATGAATGTGACAGACAAAAGCCTGAAGACCTGTGCAGTGAATAGAAAACAAAAAAAATCACTTCCTCTTGCCTTCAGAGATGAACAAGCTATTCCCAAGAGTTTTGTCCTCTATGCTTTGTTCACTTCACAAACTCCTCATGCAGTGGCCGTGAGTACAATTCTAGTGCGGGACTGGAGAGTGTAGCTATATCATTTCTGAAGGAGAGGAATGGGGTCTGGAGGGTTGAAGCGAGGCAGTGAGTATCAAACGCACGCTCAGAGATTCCTTTACAACTATACAGTGTCACCTGCCGATGTGCAAATACATCAGTAAAATTCACCCTTGGTTTTTGTTTTTTAGCAGGTTGATAGGAATTGGCGCTTGGATGTCCTTTGCAAAGCTGGGCCGTGATAGTTTGACGTAAATTAGTGATGCGCTGATTTGAATATGTCCTCACTTTTGTTTTCTAGAAAAAGAGACTTTCTTGGAACCTTTTGCCCTAAAAGACCTGCTGCCATCGTCGTTGGGCAGCTACTATCGCTACACGGGCTCACTGACCACTCCTCCCTGCAGTAAAATTGTGGAGTGGATCATCTTCAGCAGACCGATCTATGTCTCTTACAAACAGGTGAGAAACACACACAACAGAAGGTTTATGAACACACGACATACAAAAGATGTTAGGCTTTCAAGTGAAATTTAAAGATGAACCTAAAATATGATGAGTTTTAAAGTAAGACCTCGGAAGTTAATGCTGAACACAACAGGACGCTTTTTTATCAGAAAACTGATTGGATTCATTTGCACGGACAGCTACGTTGTTACTTGCGTTACGGATCAACAGGTTCCGAGATCAACTGGCTCCCAATATCAGCTGTGGCTAGACCACTAATTGTTTTCTCTTCTTATCTGCGGATTCATCACTTCTTCAAAGCACTACATCGAAGAGATGGTGGACTTGAGTCATGTGACTCGACTCAAGTCAAACTTGTTGTTGCTATTTTTAGGACTTGCAACTTGCTTGCCAAAAACTTGGGAATGACTCGACATGGTATCTGAATGACCCTACTTGACTTTGACTTGAACTACATGACTTAACAAGTCATCTTGCTTATAGTTTGAAATCTACATTTTAACACAATTTGGCTTTTCGGAAGGAAAGCAAGAAATAAATAAAAAAAGTGAGGTTTTCTTTCATTCACGCCAACATGGCAACCCAATCAACGTCACTTGTTAGTGAGAAGTGGTATATGTGTGTTTGTGTGTGTGTGTGTGTGTGTGTGTGTGTGTGTGTGTGTGTACATGTGCATGTGTTCATCAGGGATGACAAATGGGTATTCGTCATCATTGTCCGATTTGAAAAAGCTCTGTTGTAGATTTAACTGCCGCCATTAATCCATGTCCTCACCACCAAACTGCTTCTGCACGTCACCTTGCGACGTAGGATCTCCGTACCGCACCCACACCCACTCACACTCTGTGGACCAAGATCTGATCAAATCCAGTCCTGCAATCTAGTGGTGATTTATCAGACATCAATCATTCCCACAGCCTCCATAACTAACTGAGGAGATGCGTGGAGCCCAATATTAATGTATTTTAATTTTAAAAAAAAAACAGCACCCAAAACATATTTCTACATTTTGGGACCAAACGATTTTTGCAAATGTACTTTTACATTTCTTTATTAAATGAGTTCGGTATCGATCCCCAAGCTTAAGTATTGATATTCGGCATTCAGTTATGTTTTCTTTATCTCTATTTTTGGTTTTTATGCCAACAAACTACTTTTTCCTGTCTTGATTTACACACACGGAAGCACCGGTGTCTGCCTCTGCCCAATCTTATTCTTATTACTGTATTGACAAGCGGAGAGGTTAGAATGCAAGAGTTGGCCTGAGTGGGTTTGTCATTTATTTGAAGGAAGTTAGCCACAATCTCGTTCTGCGTGAGTATGCTGCTTCTTCTTCATTGGTTTGGATGTAATAAATACCCCAACGCACTCCCCCCACCCCCAAAAAAAAAGCGCAGCGGTACCTCACATGTGGTTTTGATCACAGTTTTGTGTAATTAAAAAAAAAAAAAAAACACTTCTGGTGTCTATCGGATTGGAATCTCAATATTTTGCAGAGGATTTTACTTGACATTGCATCAAATCCAAAATCAATGGTACCATCCATCTCAACCAGAAAAAAAAACCCCAAAAACGTATGTACTTTTTAAATGTGATGACACATGTTTACGCCCACATTCAGCATATTCTACATTTTAAAAACAGAAAAACAGATATGCATCCCGGCTAGAATTGAATAAAAAGACGTATCATCATAAAAAATTCTGGTTGGTCCGGCAGAAAGAGAGTCTGAAATGGCATCAATCTTTCAACAGTGTCTCTCTATCGATCTATCTATCCATCCATTCTCAGTAAGTGCTGTCCAATGCGTGGGATACTCATAAGAACTCATAGCATGGGGGCTACAGCAAAGAATGACAGCATATGTAACAAACACAAGGAAACACTGTACACTCCTAAGTGTCAAATCAATCACAGTTCCTGCTCTCTGACTGTTGATTCCTGACTAGTGTCGATTAGTCCTCAAATAGTTTTTTTCTTTCATCCTCCCCTCCCTTTGTATTTTATCTTCTCTTGCTACGAGCCCATTCTTTTGGATGATAGTTGAAGTAGGTCAGCTAGAGTGACAGTTGCTGCTCAGGGCCTGCTTTTAGAGTGGATTCATGCCAAAGCTGTTACACAACTCCCCACCTAAAGTTCCCTTCTTTCAGACAGACACATGGACGCGCCACACTTGTCTGTGTGTGTGTGTGTTGTTTCTTGGTCGCGATTCCAACAGGGATGTGTGATTTTTGTGGCACTCTGGATGAGATTTCCTAAAACTTAACGGTATGATTGAACCAGGGATGACCAGGTATTTCCATTTCAAGGTGAGGTTTATTAAAAAAATAATGTGAGGTTAAAAGTAGAGATTGTTTCAATGTCAAGTTTACATCAGTCCATCATTTGTCTATTAAATCAAAACAGAGGACACTGCTAAGAACATCCACAACCAGATTTATGGCACCAAAAACAAACAAGCACACAACCAATCACAAAGGCATGACAGATGCCAAATGCCAACCACGACAGACAAATTTTGCTAATTTACCAAGTTCCTACAAAAAAATGAACAAAATAAAAATATTTATATGTAAGGAAGAATCATTTACCAATGTTTTTTTACGAATGAAATTCAAAAGTATGGCATTTATAACTTTAATACACTGGTGACATCTAACGACAGTTTTTTAAAATTTTATTTTATAATGCAGTTGTTAACTAAGGGTTAACCTCACCCTATTCTTGTTTGTGAACAACTGAATCTTTTGGGAATGCTCCTTTTATACCCAAACATGACACTCACCTTATTCCAACTAATCTTTTCACCTGTGACTGTTCCAAACATTATCTTTTTTTTTTTAACCGTTCCTCAATTTCCCCAGCCTTTTGTTGCCCCGTCCCATCTTTTTTCAAATGTGTTGGAGGCCTCAAAAGAAAAATGAGAAAATATTTACCCCAAAAAAAAAAAATATATATATATATACAAAGAAAAAAAAAAATCCTCGTCTCACCCCTCGGGTTTAACCGTTCCTCAATTTCCCCAGCCTTTTGTTGCCCCGTCCCATCTTTTTTCAAATGTGTTGGAGGCCTCAAAAGAAAAATGAGAAAATATTTACCCCAAAAAAAAAAATATATATATATATATATGTCGGATGGGCGGTTTCCTCAACTTCATGGCAGAGGTTAACAAGCTGAGAGTTTATCATCGTGAATTGCATTGAATGGGGAAAATATGGAACGTATAACATAAGTGTTGGATCTATTTGGGTTTTGCACATATCCACAACTTGTTTTATTTTGCACCCTCCAACGGCTTTCCTCTGCCCTTTATCTATGATCACGATATCTGGTTGGTTCGCCAGTACCATCTTGTCAGTCTGGTTCTGGAAGTCCCACAGGATCTTCGCTCTGCCATTCTCCACCACCTTCGGAGGTGTTCCCCATTTTGACCTTGGGGTTTCCAGTCCATACTCTGCACAGATGTTTCGGTAGACTATGCCAGCCACCTGGTTATGGCGTTCCATGTAGGATTTCCCTGCCAGCATCTTACACCCTGCAGTTATGTGTTGGATCGTCTCAGGTGCCTCTTTGCACAACCTACACCTTGGGTCTTGTCTGGGCTGGAATTTC